CCTTGGATTGATTGAGAGTGGCGTTTGCTGTTACCAGAAGTATCAACCCAGGCAAGCCACTCCAGTCCTTTTCCAGGGGCCTGCCTGACCCAGCCCATATGGTAGCTGCTGTATGTGAATCCAGAGCCTGTACAGGTCAGTCTGTGGGATTCTCCAGGCCTTTTAACCACTGGTTCAGATTCTGTCAGAGTCTGACCATCAATACCTGTAACAAAAAAATAAATAAATAAATAGCTGGGAAGTTGATTAAATGCTTCAAAGTTTTAAAGACAACTTCAACTCAGGATCAGAGAAACTCTTCACCTGCCCAGCAGAGAGTTAAAAACAGCAGTCCTGTCCTATAGTCCATCATGTTAAACTGTGTGTCCACTGTTCTCTGTCATCCTCTCTGCAGTCAGATAAGTAGAGGTGGAAGACATCTGAGTTTTGCATTGACTCCTCCTCACAGGAGGAGAGAACTGGTTTGCATTTGACTTTCTTTTTTATATTTATAAAATATTATTCTATAGTGAGAGAAAAGTCTTCAGAAGTTTAATTTTATTATTGGAATTTAGGTTGTTAAAAACTGATTTTTGGTTGAATTATATTGTTCATGAGGTTTATTCACAAGAAAAAACATCACACAACTGAAAACTCTGAAAAATTTCATGATACTGATTCAGTAACTAGTGCAGTTGTGATTGAGAGAATATTTTTTGTTTTTTAAACATAGGTTTTATGAAAGAGACACTTTGTGAAGATCCATGTCTTGTTGGATTATGACCTTTTTAAAACCAGGTTCTCAGCTGGATGAATTTCATCACTTGAAAGGTGTAATAGTGTTATTCAGTTTTCACTTTGGGAAAACATACAGTAATATTTCAGATATTATAAAGTCAACATATTTAAATTGTTGAAAACAGTTGCTGTAAAATTTAATTAAGGACCATTTATAAAATCTAAATACTGTTTCTCTTTTGACTGTAACAGTGAGCTGGTGTGAAATCATTAGTGGTCTGAGGGCTCCTCCTCTGGTGGCTTCATGTTACAAGTGTTCAGGCACTGAGGAGTTTTTGTTCAGGTCTACTGATGGTTTGTGTTATTGTGTGTCTCTGGCACAGTAATACACAGCAGTGTCTTCAGGCTGCACATTCTGTCCATTTAGAGTCACTGTTTTGCTGGAAGAGTCTAAGTCGATACTGAACTTGTTCTTTAGTGAATCTTTGTAGTATGAAGCTCCAGTATATCTCGTTCCAATCCACTCCAGTCCTTTCCCTGCAGGCTGTCTGATCCAAGCTGTGTAGTAGCTGCTAACAGAATAAGAGACCTGACAGGTGATGGTGAGACGTTGACCTGGCTGCACAGTCACAGAGGCTGGCTGTGTCAACTGTTCACACTTCACACCTGTTAAAAAAGAAAATGTTTTGTTATAAATGATCAAGTTCTACAGCAAGAGAAGAAATGTTGACTATGACAAATCCAGAGAGACTCACAGGATCCAGCTGCCAACAGCAGCAGCAGAGCTACAGAAAACATGGTTTATGGTGAAGCTGACGAGCTGTGAACTCCACTGACAGTCTGATCTGAAGTTTTTATAGCTGAGTAACAAGGAAGGTCACTGAGTTTGCATAGAATCAAACACATGAAGCATCAGTGTTGGTCTAACTGGAGCCAATAGAAGAGTCTGTTTGGTGTTACTGTCAACACCTCATACTACATGTAATTATTTATTAATCTGTCAGCACATAACTTTTTTAATACAACAATTATTCTTCTATATATATTTACTTATTACCTGTATTTACTTGCTAAACCTGTGTGACAATAAACAAAAAACTGCATGCTTTAGCTGAAATGAAAACTGTGGTATAGTTCTTGCATTTGTATGTAATTATCACCACATTATACCTTTATCTTTGTGGTTGTGTCATTTCAGATCAATGAGAACACCAAGGTGTCTTATCTTAGTTACAGACGAGACAGAAACTTGACAATGACTGACCTCTAGTGATTGTATAGTAGAAACTACAACATTTTTTTTCACACTCATCATATGAATCAATTTTTAATCCACATCATTTACAGAAATGATATGTCTTTATTCAGAGGAACATAATGCATTTGAAGAGTTTTCAGCAGCCACATTGTTATACAAATTCTCCTTTTTAAGATTTTCTTGTTTAATGTTTAGTCATATTTCTTGTGAAAGGATAAAGTATTGGCGATGTGAAGCATATACTGTTATATAAAGATGATATGTGAAATCAATTATTTGATACGTAATATATATAATACAGTAACACTTAACACTCAGGCTCCACCAGCCTGAAATATGAGGATTGATGGATATTGTACAGCTGTTCAACCGACTCCAGTCACTGTGAGTCTCGAGCACAATAATAAACAGCAGAATCTTCAGTCTTCAGACTGTTCATCTGCAGATACACCTGCTCTCTGCTGTTGTCTCTGGAGATGGTAAACCGGCCTTGGACTGACTGAGAGTAGGATTTGCTGCTGTCAGTGCCATGCCAGGCAATCCACTCCAGTCCTTTACCAGGAGCCTGTCTGATCCAGTGCATATCGTAGCTGCTGAATGTGAATCCAGAGGCTGTACAGGTCAGTCTGTGGGATTCTCCAGGCCTTTTAACCACTGGTTCAGATTCTGTCAGAGTCTGACCATCAACACCTGTAACAAAAAAAAAAAATAAATAAATAACTGGGAAGTTGATTAAATGCTTCAAAGTTTTAAAGACAACTTCAACTCAGGATCAGAGAAACTCTTCACCTGCCCAGCAGAGAGTTAAAAGCAGCAGTCCTGTCCTATAGTCCATCATGTTAAACTGTGTGTCCACTGTTCTCTGTCATCCTCTCTGCAGTCAGATAAGTAGAGGTGGAAGACATCTGAGTTTTGCATTGACTCCTCCTCACAGGGAGGAGAGAACTGGTTTGCATTTGACTTTCTTTTTTATATTTATAAAATATTATTCTACAGTGAGAGAAAAGTCTTCAGACGTTTAATATTATTATTGGAATTTTAGTTGTTAAAAATTGATTTTTGGTCCAATGACATTGTTCATAAGGTTTATTCACAAGACAAAACATCACACAACTGAAAACTTGTAAAAGTTTCATGATACTGATTCAGTAACTAGTGCAGTTGTGATTGAGAGAATATTTTTTGTTTTTTAAATATTGATTTTATGGAAGAGACACTTTGTGAAGATCCATGTCTTGTTGGATTATGACCTTTTTAAAACCGGGTTCTCAGCTGGATGAATTTCATCACTTGAAAGGTGTAATAGTGTTATTCAGTTTTCACGTCAGGAAACATACAGTAATATTTCAGAGATTATAAAGTCAACATATTTAAATTGTTGAAAACAGTTGCTGTAAAATTTAATTAAGAACCATTTATAAAATCTAAATACTGTTTCTCTCTTGACTGTAACAGTGAGCTGGTGTGAAATCATTAGTGGTCTGAGGGCTCCTCCTCTGGTGGCTTCATGTTACAAGTGTTCAGGCACTGAGGGGTTTTTGTTCAGGTCTACTGATGGTTTGTGTTATTGTGTGTCTCTGGCACAGTAATACACAGCAGTGTCTTCAGGCTGCACATTCTGTCCATTTAGAGTCACTCTGTTGCTGGAAGAGTCTGTTTCAATACTGAATTTGCTCTTCAGTGAATCTTTGTAGTCTGTTGTGTATCCAACAAGTGCGCTTCCAATCCACTCCAGTGTTTTCCCTGCAGGCTGTCTGATCCAAGCTGTGTAGTAGTCACTAACAGAATAAGAGACCTGACAGGTGATGGTGAGACGTTGACCTGGCTGCACAGTCACAGAGGCTGGCTGTGTCAACTGTTCACACTTCACACCTGTTAAAAAAGAAAATGTTTTGTTATAAATGATCAAGTTCTACAGCAAGAGAAGAAATGTTGAATGTGACAAATCCAGAGAGACTCACAGGATCCAGCTGCCAACAGCAGCAGCAGAGCTACAGAAAACATGGTTTATGGTGAAGCTGACGAGCTGTGAACTCCACTGACAGTCTGATCTGAAGTTTTTATAGCTGAGTAACAAGGAAGGTCACTGAGTTTGCATAGAATCAAACACATGAAGCATCAGTGTTGGTCTAACTGGAGCCAATAATTCCTGTAATACAATTTAATAACCAGCCATTGATGGTTGAAGACATCTACACCTGCACAACAAAATAGATGAGCTTAGTAAATGTTGAGAAATTAAAAAACATATTATTATACATGTTTTAAAACAAGGTTTCTACATTTTAATAATAGTTAGTTGTTGTTTGAAAAAAAAATATTTGTCCTTACTTCCATTCAAACATAAAAAATATGTTTTCATATATTTCATTGAACATTTCTTTGTTTATTTATTTATTAGCTTACTTACATATTTGATATTGATATTGATTTCAGTCATATACACCTGTACAAGAAAGATGAGCTGACTAAATATTGAGAAATTAAAATATTATTGTTATATATGTTTTAAATCGAGTCTTCACCAGATTTTTGCTTCCACAATTCATATAGATTTTTATAACATGATTCCTTCCACCTTTCCTTTCCTGTCTACCTTGATGTGATTTTATTACTGTTACTGCAAGATTATTTTTCACTCTCCTGACATGACTCACTTTTGATTCTTCATACAGAAATGATTCTGTCTTAATTTGTAAAAACGTATGGTATTTGTTGAGTATGTTTTAAGCAACCAGTTTGTTGTACTGTCTTTGACCCTTTTATTGACTCATTTTCTTCATTGTGTGTTTTGTGTTTAATCTTTAGTCATATTTCTCAAGAACACTTCTCAGAACCTTGTAAAGTAGAGACCACAATTAATTTATTAAAGAATATAGCAAGCAAAACATGCAAAATGAAACATTTTATTAAAATGTTAATATGAAAAATATAACATTAAATCAGATATTTAACAAATAAAATACAAAAATACACCATCTACCGTCCTACTATTGTATGATTTTGTACAGCCGCTCCACAGAATTCACTCGCTGTGTGGGAATTGAGCACAATAATAAACAGCAGAATCTTCAGTCTTCAGACTGTTCATCTGCAGATACAGCTGCTCTCTGCTATTGTCTCTGGAGATGGTAAACCGGCCTTGGACTGACTGAGAGTAGTATTTGCTGCTACCAGTATCATGCAAGGCAACCCACTCCAGTCCTTTACCAGGAGCCTGTCTGATCCAGGCCATCCGTTCATCTGCAGATACACCTGCTTTCTGCTGTTGTCTCTGGAGATGGTAAACCGGCCTTGGACTGACTGAGAGTAGTAGATGTTGCTACTAGTAACACTGATAGTTGCAACCCACTCCAGTCCTTTTCCAGCAGCCTGTCTGATCCAAGCGTTCCAGTAATTATCACCAAACCCAGAATATGTGCAGGTCAATCTGTGGGATTCTCCAGGCCTTTTAACCACTGGTTCAGACTCGGTCAGAGTCTGACCCTCAGTACCTACAGAAATTTAAACAACTCATTAGATTCTGTAATGAAACCAGATGTTTCATCAGATTCTGTCAGATGTCTTTAGCTGTTTATCAGAAATACAGTTAATATTCTTACCTGTCCAGATAATTGACAGGATGAGAAAAA